TCACCTGAGGGCCCCGTTTGACCCTGACCAAACAGAAGAATAAAAAACAGTTTCTGTTTCATATCCAATTATTTTTACGGAGTTCTTCAAATCTAGACTAGAGAATTTCACACTCCGTCTCTTACTTTATCCATTTTGAAAAAGAATTTACAAAATATTAATTTTGGTTGGAAATGCTCTCAAGTAGCTAAAAAAAGCTCATATAAAATGGATATCGTACTTTACTAAGTCGGTTAACGTAACTTTTTTAGGTTAAAAAGATGTAGGTACCCAATTTTTAAAAATGTAATGATTTATTTACTAATAATACTTAATCAATTAATAAAAAAGTTTATAATTATTTTTTAATTTAAAAAAATAGTTTAAATRCTTAATCATTTAGAATATAATATATATACATATAGTTTTGATGGTTTTGTGTGTGTGAGGTGGATGGAATGATGGTGGAAGAGTGAGAGGAGACTGAAATGATGTGTCCATTCATTTTAATTCCTCACTGTCAATTTCACACTCTACATTTTGGATCTTGTTCCACTTTTCACTTTTATTAAATTATACCCTTTTTTCCTTTATTAAATTACTTCATTTTTTAATTAAATGTTTTAAATCACTTGATTACAMAAACTCATAATTAATAAACCACTACTACACGACAAAATCTAGCCTAACTTACGTCCTTTGTCCTTGTGGTTTTTTTGAAAGTTGTTATATCTGTCTCTACCATTTTTCATCTATATATTCATAAAAATCGTATAAGAAAAAGAGTTAATTGATATTAATTAGGATTGATCTAATCCCTTATTAATATATATATATATATATAGAGAGAGAGAGAGAGAGTGTGTATAAAAAAAAGTTGTAGATGAGGTTTGTTTTGTTAGAGTAGTAGGCATCTTCCATTAAAGTGGATGCAATTTTGATGCCATAGAAAGAAAGATAAGAAATTTTAATTTCATCAATACACTTGTGAAATTTGTTATCAAATCTATTCTACTTTTTAAGTTTTATAATACAAATGTTACATTAGTACAATGAGTCTACATAAATTTATATTTTTCAATTATTTAATCCGGTTTTCAAAAATTCAATGAATTATTGTTTCTATGTTATACGACATTTACAATTACATAAATAYAACTTATTTATACATGTCAACTTTATAAAACTAACTCATAACCAATTTATAAACGTTTAAATAGAGAATATCCTACTAATACAAYAAAATACTCCATAAAATTGATAACCAACTATACAATACACAGTCTCTCTTAAAATCATATAAAATAAAATCGAAAATTAAATATGTATTTAGGATAGAGTAAAGTTTTAGTTATTATATTATATTATATTATAATATAATATAATAATAGAAAAATGAAAATGGGATTAAGAATGATTGATGATTGAAAGGCATTATAGTTTGTGATCACAATGATGTTGTACACAAAACACATACACCCCACAAAATAAATACTCCTTGCATTGCGCATGAAAAGCTTGATTTGACTCCCATTATTAATTCTATTCTATTCCATTTCTTTTTTATTTTTTTTAGTTTTTATTTGAATATAACCAAAACTTATTTTTATTTTTTTAATAAACTAAACTACAAATTTGGTTGTTCGATTACAAGATTGTCATCTAGCATTTGGTCTCTTCCTCCAACGGCTATYAACAATCTCGTTAAGTGGAAGATATTTTCGTTCTTTTATCGATTTCTTTTATGTCTTTTACTCAATCAAAATAGATTTTATTGTTTTTGATTAGGTAAAAGATGATAATATAATGAAAATGCCCATCATATAACGGAAGACCGTTAGAGAAATGATCGAATCCAAACCTTCTTGTAAACCACTTGACCATCTCTAACGGTGACGTTTGAGGCCTTCTAGACCGAGAAGAGGGGAGTTGGCTTTCCATTTTGGGCTCCAAATATTTGGGCCTATACAATACAAGGATGGAGATCGAGTTCACTTGAATTTTTTTTCTTTTCATGCTTAATGTAGTAATAGTTACATGAATACATATTATAATAAAATAAATTAATTTATATTTTTTATTATTAAATAATGATGTGATTCTACAAAAAGAATAGAAAAATCGAAGAAAGAAAAAAAAACATAACACTACTTATTCAAAGACTGCTTAACAATTGAAGTAATATTTTAAAACAAAACGAACATGTTTTGAWAAGAATAAATGATATTTAGCTCGGTTTATGACAAACCAAACAAATTATCCAAATATATTCAAGACATGTTTCGAAAATAAGGTAACAATGAATGATGCTTAACTCTGAATTAGGGGTGGACTTGGTATGTTCCCAAGTTCTTTTTTTTTTATCAATCAATTATAATTGGTATGTAAAATTTTATATCGTGTACCAATCAATTGTACTCRATACCAAATTAACTGGTTTCGATTGATACTGTTTTTGTACCATATTTRAAATTTGTCATTTTACTTGATTTTTGAGTGACATTTTGAATTTTCAGGTAACTAATTATAATTGGTATCTAGAACTAATGAATAATTAAAATACACCAGTACCATGGTACACAACTTTCAATACCATATATCAATCAAGTTTGCATCTTTGGTACGATACTACCAACCAACTGTAATGTAATCGATACCAATTTAATATAGTACGATTAGTACATGACTTGTTTGGTTTGGTACAAAATTATCAGCTGCTCAGAATCTGGTTCAACATTTATTGCACAAGTTACAAGTATGAGATGCATAACAAAAAGGTTAGCCAGCCTGTCTGTCTCATCTTTTTATTCCCAGATTAAGATTGAATGAAAACCAAAGTGTCATAAATTTCAACTTACACAGCCTCATGAGTCTCACAGCATCAATATTTGCTATACATAATAATATATATAAATAAATGAGACATGTCATACAACACACTTCATATATATATATATATCTTAGTATATATATATGTAACACCTGAAAAATGCAGCTCCTGGTATCCCAATAATCTAACGCTTCAATTTTATCGACTACCTTGTCTGCGGAGAACTTTGGCTCGAGATCTGCACGTCACCTGAGGGCCCCGTTTGACCCTGACCAAACATCAAACCGACCGAACTACTTGAATGAGGATCCATTTTGGACCTTTCCGAGAATGTAACCGATGGAGCCACAGCAGGAAGAGAAGATGATCCTAGCATATATGGTGCGATTGGGATATCGGATGGACCGTAGTTAACTGCACCCGGAAGTGGATGGTCAAATTTGCAGGTGSGCCCGAACTTGCAGTGTCCATTTTGCATGTAAAAACTGCACGGCTCCACCCCCTGTTCATAAATAAGAGGTTAAAGTTGAACCAAAATCAAACAAACGCAGTATATCAGCGGAAAGTAGGGTCCAAAAAGGTAAAATGTAGCACATCTTACCTATGTCTCCAGAGATTGAAAAGTTTCTGTTCATCAACAAAAGTTTAAATGACGGAATCTAAATGAACGTCTTATTTGGTCAAAAGAGAAAAACTTTATATCGKGTAAGGTATGTGGGTTTAATTTAAATGTCCTCAAGATAGCAACTAATAAATCATTATTAATGCCTCAGTTGGCAAAAGGRAGTAGCGACTTTGCTCAAATACGCAATAGGTTCAAGTTCGAATCTTGCACGAGGCAGGCTTGAACCCCTCCGCTAGCCTCGGCCACTGAGTCAGCYCTGAGATGCTTCCTCACATGTGGTTCTTACGGGGTGGGTTCCATGTGGGGACGGTCGGGCTTGCTGGTAATCAACTTTTTGCTCAAATAAAGCATTATCAGTAGACCTACTGGAAGGAAGAAACAGTCTCAGACAACATACTACTCCTTGCATCTCATCCCATGCATATTGGCATAYTGCAATCTTGATTTGACACACAGGATGAAGAGTTTTGACTATTTGTCAAATACATAAAATACCCTTTAAAAAAAGTTCTTTTCTAGAAAAGGCAARGGTATTACCAACTAGGAGATGGGATAAACCCCACCAAACTAAATGCTTGACGGTGAAACAAAAAGGGGTCTTAACCAATACCAGCACTTTATGCAAACCAAACCAACCCAACCCAACCCGATATTATCTCATTGGAAAGTAGGGTTAGGATTTAGGCATACCTTATCTCAACCACTAGGATAGAGAGATTAATTATGTAAATGACCCCCAGCTTATGCACGAAATATGTGAGTTTAGTTTGGGAACCAAAACCTAAAATTTTGCAATCATCATGGAATCGAGGGAATACTTGGTTCATGTTTTCGTCTAGTATGAATAGGGATGTTTCCAAGATAAATCCTCAGGCAAACTTGAAATCAGAACTATAATGGCTACATAACTTACCTTCTCTTTATATCTCACTCATTCCCATTCCATATAAAAAAAGATGAAAGTTCCTCCTACAGTCCTACTAGAGAATAGTACGTGGAGTGCTAGATATGATAAAGATTAGCTATTCTTGCRAAGTTAAATTGTTTCAGATATAAATCACCATATTATGCGACATAAGATCAAGTAAAAATGAAAAAGTTTTTTTATGCATGCGACTCATCAGAATGCCCTCAACATGGCGTTCTCTTAACACACCCTTGAACATGGTGTTATCAAAAGTTAACCAATCACATAAGAATTGGATCACTTCAATGACCCTGAGAAACACCAAAAAGACTATAAACCAGCAGTTTGAGGGTCAGCAACTCTTTTCAATATGAAGTCATGATGTAGTTTAACACTTAAAATTAAATTTGGGCCATAGATGGGACAAATAGTGTAAACTGTAAACTGTAAAACTTTTCCTAAACTTTTCCTAGGACGTGGTGCCCGATTCAATTACCTTAGAATACTTAAAAATAAAAAATGGATCTAGTAGAGTATGAATTTTTAACACTACCTAAGCCACAAATAAAGAGTTCACAATTTTTAACTCTCATGTGTCAAATGGATCATTTCTTGACCTCAGAATTGGAAAAAATTGTTTGCTTGTATAAGAAAGTAACTACTGATGTCTACTTTTAAAGTTACTAGGATTAAAAAACTTCGGAGCTACAAAACTGAACTTATTAATCACATTCTGTTGGAGAGAGCTAGATTTGMATTTCAAAAATCAAAAGTGGATTTTGGTTTTGGGATGGAAAGAAGATCATGCATTTAAAGTTACTACCTCTTAAGTGTAAATATAAGTGTACAGTAGTATCACAGTCACAAACATACACCAGAATGCAGAAAAAAAAACTTGGGGGCAGTCCTTCTAGGGCAGGTACACTGAGAAATTCACCTGTTCAGACCACCATTCAAGTTTGACCAACTAAAAGAGAGTTGTGATCTTCCACAACGTATGTTATCTTTTAACCTTGGCTTATATAGGTAAGATGCTAACTTCAAAGTTAAGCAGCCGGATTCATTAGTCCTTTGCAGGTTTATACTCTCTAAACATCATTAACCTCACAAAAACTCAGTTTGCTGCCATGCAGATGATAATAAAATGTCATGGACCATAAGAAATGCATGCCAWCTTGTGAAAACATTAAAACATTCTTATCCACTGGGCATAAGATATTGTAAAATTTATATAGAGGAAAGTTCAAATGAGAACCATAAATATTTTGAGAAAACCACAAGGGTTCTGGCACGGTGGTTGAGGTCCTGAAGGATGTGGTGGCATATCCCATCTGYCCAGTGTTTGATTCCAGGCAAACACAACAATTGTGGCCACTGAGTTTATTAGGGCTGATTTCTTGCGGGCACAATTTTCCGGGATTAGTCTAGACATAGCCTAGGACACCCTTCCAAAAATTATATTTTATCTGGGGATCAACTCTTTCATGTATTATTCATGATATCATGCATTTTCAACATGAACATCATGTATTTTCGTCATGAATATCTATCACGAGTCATGACATTCATCATGAATAAAACATGAATAGTTAGTTCCATGTTCTCAATATATTTACGGTTTTCAATTAGCCCCAACTAATTAAATAGTAAAAAMGATACAATGACATAAAGAAACATAATGCTATGTCTGTAATATGAGATGCAAACTGGAAGAAAAGATGTAGTATTCAATYGCATACAGTTTAACAATGCATAGTCCATGGAACACATAACATTAACAAGCAAAGAGTCGATAGATTAAACAGGCTTACCGGACGCAGTGGGAGACCGATGGCGCTGAGAACACAATTTGCCTTTGATAATACCCAGTCTGGTGGATGATGATACTTGCAAGAGGCCCCAAACTTACAATCCCCAGTTTTCATGTAGTATTGGCATTCAGGTTGGCCAGGTCTCTCGGGAAATACTCTTTCAGTCTGACTACTACTCAGAGGGCCAGGAGAAGGTGGTAAGGGGCGATATGGTGCTGCAAATGGAGGCGCTGAAGAATTCACTCCATATACAGAACCTGCTGCCATGGAAGGTTGAGCACCYGGAGACAGGACCGGGCTTACACGTCCCTGCATCTCGTAAACTATTGACACTATAAGAACTATACATACACAAGCAAACCAAATAGATATAAATTATATTCTTTCTTACCGAGTAAGGACTCCAATTTTGTAACGGAACCATGCCAGGGGAAAGTAGTATGGGACCATAAGCACCTGGTGCATATGAACCAGGTACTAATGGAGGCCTTGCAACCCTATAGCCTGCTGATGGACCAACATATTGTTCCGGGGAAGGAGCTGAAGGAGACTGCACTGAATAAAATGGACGTGCAGATGCTGGCATGGATTCGCCAGTCGGTTGAGGATGATGGAATTTACAAGTTATACCAAATTTGCACTGCCCCGTTTTCAAATAGTAGGAGCATTCTTTCTCGTCCTGTTTTTATACATAAAAGTTGGTAGCTTTGACATTAATGCACAAGAACAAACAATTAGTGGTATCAGAAAAAAGGTGGGTAGAAATAGTTACTGGTCGTAATGGATATCCATAAGTATTTAGCGGCACATTACTCAGTGATCCACCCGCATGTCTTGGATGGTGAAACTTGCAGGATGCACCAAACTTACAGGTGCCTGTTCTTAAATAATACTGCACATGTACAATGAAACACTGCATCATTCAGACAATCACACAGATTCTATGCATTTGCTTTGACTTGTAAGGGGTTGTTTGGTTGGTTTTTCATTAAGTACCGGTATGGATAAAGCTTTCTGTGTGGATTAATATGGCTGTATAGATTGGGAAGGTTTTTGTTTGGGAGAGTTTTTTCATAAATGGAAGGAGCGTGATTTTTTTAATTGGGAGGGACAGGTTTGGGAAAAACTTGGCTTTCTGCATAAGGCTCCCCTCTATAAGCTTACTGAATAAGCCACTTTCTATATCATTAAGCCACTACCAAACAGMGATATATAGCTAACCGAATAAGCTGAGAGTSCCATTAAGCTCATTAAGCTGCTAACAAACAGGCCCTTAGGAAATTTATGAACAAAACTGAAGATACTATGATAAAACAGAGTACCTGGCAAGGAGGCTCTCCTGGTCGCTCTGGGTAAGCTCCTCCTCCTGCACTTCTTGCAGCTCCTCCAGCCTATCAATCATCACAATGTTATAATAGATTAGGGATTGCAATCTATGGGTGTAAGACCCCACATCGGTTAGGGAGGGGAACTAAGGTTGCCTTGTAAGGGACTGGATACCTCCTCTATCAAATCCGTTTTAAAACCATGAGTCCATGTGTGGACAAAGCAGACAATATCTGGTATGGTTAGCCTGAGATATTACAATGGGTGCTCTTCATTCAATCCAGAAGTTGAACTATATGCATAATGAATGCATATTACTTATTTTACTAGGTTTTTTCTCTTTTTCTATTGTTGTTGCCAAATTATCAATCACAACCAAATTCTAGACATCRCTTCTCTTGCTAATTAATATGTAAAACAACGATTATGATGGGGAAAAGTTCATATGCACCAACATTAGCAGCTTAAAAACAAAAAAAAATGTAAGCTTTATGGATAACCATAACGAATTAAGCAAATGATCGAAGGGATTACCGAGCTACTACGATCTGGAGGATGATTATATCTGCACTTGCTACCATATCCACATGTCCCAGTTCTCATATAGTAAGCACAATCCGCCATTCCAGGTCGCTCCGGATAAAACTCTCCTCTTCCGMCCCACAACCCCAACCGCCTCATCGATTCTACATACATTCCCCAAATTACCAATAAACAAAATCAATCAATCAAACAAACATCAAGTGTAAAAAAGAAAAGTTCGTACATTGTTCAAAACCCTAAAAAAATCTTCAACAATATGAAAAATTCAAAACTGTAAATGCTAAATAGCCATGAAAGGTTTACCTTCAAGGCCCGTTTCGGCCCCCGGCTGTATCCATTCAGATTGTTGTTGGGTATGATCCGGCTGTGACCCGTTTCTTCCCGTGCTCCGTCCGTACAGCTCCATTTTTATTTAGGTTTTCGAGTTCCTATTTACAAGAGCTGAAAGAAGATTTCAACGGAATCAACACAAAAATCGAGAAACAAACGACTCCTACCAGCGATGAATGCACACTGGTTTCTTCAAATGATCGAGGGGGTTTGAAACTCGATCGAATGATGATTTTTGCTGCTTCTATACTCTCACTTGCATCAACTTTATTTGAAGGGCTTCGATTCTATTATGCATTTGCAAGTGCAACTTTATTTGTTTGATTTTGTTTGGTGGAAAAAGAAAAACGAGATGAGTAACCGACACTGCTGTTTTCTGAAATTACGTCCTTGCCCTTGGGCCTGCCTGTACTGCTTTGCTGCTGTCGTGGCAATATAAATGAGGACAATTCTGTCTTTTTGGGTTTTTGGTTTATGGGCTTCTAATTATTGGTTGGAAGTAAAAAAAAAAACCCTCAACATAGTTTGCCCCAAATTTAATTTTATTAAAATAC